CTTTCCTTTCCTTTTCAGGGTTTTTTTTAATTAAAAAATATATATTTTCTCTTGTTTATTCCCCTTCTACAAAGTTATTTCGATAATCCCAACATTTTATTTTAATATCAATTACTTGATTTCGATTTCAACTTAATTTGAGTAGTTTGATATTAGTGTTTTGTTTAAATGTATTTGGATTTCTTGTTATCAGTGAAATTACTTCACTTGAAATGAGATCAAAGTTGAGTCGTCTGGTTGAATCACCCGATTCGACTATGATCAGACCATTCGACTAGACCTAATTCTGCTCGTCCACGTGCGAATAGATTTTCTCTATAAATAAAAGGCAGTCTTGAGGTACGAGGTGCATTCTTCACAACTCTACTTTTGGCTACTCTCAACTTAACTTTTTAGCCATCTGAGTACGTTGGGTTTAACATCATATTGTGTGCAAATAAATCTCTTGTGTGTAGGTGTTTAGAGCCTTCGACGTCAGAGTCCATATCCAAATCAAGCATTAACAATGTTTTCTCTAATTTGTAATATGAGAAAATAAATCTATATTAAAGAGGAATTTTTTTCCTAATATAATATTACTACTTAATCTTCACTCTAATCTCAATGTCAACTCAACTAACCTAGGAGGGACGTTTTGGTCGCCATTTCTTTGAAAAATATGGTCATTGGTAAATTTATATGTGACTTTGAAATTTTCAAAATGGAATATTTTCTCTGTCTTTTAAGGAATGTCTAAAATAAAATTAAGTGGATAGCTTTCGTAACTAAAAAGTAAAATGAAAATTTTACATGTGGTTAATTGCATGTAACACAAAATTTTAATCATTAGAAAAAATATATATTAGCACGTTGAATAATTTTCTTTCACTCCAAATACATAATTTGATTTAGAGAAAATAGGATGAAAAATATCCTTATTATATTATTTCTTCCTTTTTATAACTTTTTAATTATCTTTTATCTTTTATTTCTCTTATTTATTTGAACTTATATAATCGAAGCAGATATATGTGTTTGAGAGAAAAGAGAGTGAAAGAAAGGCATTGATGTTATTGACATCTAAATTAGAGGCTGAAAAAAAAAAGGATGGAAAGAAATAAAAAGGAAAGTATGTACAATTCCTTGTCTCTTTAACAAAATGTTGGGATGATTACAAAACATTTGGAACCATTCTTTGATTAATAATAATTGTCATTGGTTTTTCTGTGAGAAGGATGCGATGAAGGTTCAAGATTATCGTTTTGGAAGTGTTGGGTCGTTATCTGTGATAAAATGAGAGACACGTTATAATTAAGTAGTTAAATATTGACATAATTTTTAGTTGGGATGACTCGACTTAGCCGTTATCGAAATAGATACCGACTTTAACTTACTCTACCATGCAGTGTATTTATATAATTATGAAATTAATGTGGTGGGCATCAGGTATCAAAAGTGGGATAGCCATTCCAAATTATATAGTAAGTTTGTTTGATTTGTTGTAAAATTTTTCTTTTGAGAATATTTTTAAGTTTTTTTTTAAAGTTAAAAGGTATTGTTATTAATTATCGAATGAGACCCTAATTTTTTAGGTTCGTTTATTAACATTTCTCTTTCTTATTTCTCGTTTCTTTTTTTAATTAAAAAATATAATTGTGTTTAGTAATTGTTTCTTACATTTTTATTTTTTGTTGGAAAAAAAAGTAATAATTTCTTATTTCTGATTCTCTAAAATTTTAAATTAAATATAATTTCATATGAGAATTAAATTTTTAAATTAAATATTTAAAATTTTATATTATATTTATTATGTATTTTATAAGTAACAAGTGATAAAATAATGTTTTAATCTATGTTTTGGGAAAAAATGAAATTGAACCTGCGGAAATAAGAACTTGATTTTGCTGTTTTTAAAATTTTAATATAGAAACATTTTTTTAAAATACGAAAAACAACAACGGTTGTCAAACGTTTATGTTTCTAAAAAAATTAGAATTACATTTCTAATTTCTCACTTTACATTTCAATGATACCTACAATAATACCAACTTTTTTTTTTTGGTATGATTGTTATTAAAGTTGGTTATGGTAAATCATAAATATATGGTGTTTGAACTAATTTAAAATTATTATACGTAAACAAAAGATTGATTAATAAATACCATACACAGGAGGTGTATATACACGAAACCTTGTAAAGCCATAAATGTTGAATGGAAGTTGATGTATGTTTGTCAAAATTTGGTGTAATTTCACATGCCTAACGCGTGTACCATAATTTACCAACCATATGCTTATAATATAATAAAATTATTCAAGCATCATTAGATGTGTATACAACATGAACAATCCACATCATATAATTAAAGTTCCATTTCTAGAGACAGCCTCATCTCAAGATAGAGATACCCCATTCTTTAGTGTGTGTGTGTGTATATATATATATTTAATAAATTCATATTTAATTTTTTTTTCTCCTCTATTTTTCCCTTTAAATTGTAACCATGGAAAAAATTAGAGAGCAACATTTTTTCACTAAACCAATCTGCACTCAGTTTATAAAAAGAGAAATACTCTGTTTTGATAGGAAAAAGTGATGATATATGTTAGTGTTACAAATATAGTGTCACATTTGATTCACACGGAGCATGTGCTCTAGTTTAATATAAATAAGAAAAAAAATTTTTGAGGGTAAAATTAAGTTCAAACATGTGACCTTTCCTTGTTGGGACACGTGTGTTTTGGTCTTAGCTCGAACACGTTGAGGACGAAGAGGAAGGATCGACGTGTGCTCGGGTCTGACTTGGGAAAAATACTGACCTATAGAAATCTGTTGATAGTCGACCGAAATTTCAATTATGCGAGTAGAAGATCTTCTGATCGTTGAAAGAATATTTGCTAAATGATGGTATGGATACCATCACAACAAGGTGCCACTTCCCATGCTCTCCTTATAAGAGGCGGAGTCCTAATTTCTCAAAAGTACGCAATCTCTTCCATTCAATTAAGTTGATCAGCTTGCCCCTAGTTCGAACTAACCACTAACTTAAGTTTCAGAAGAGTATGTGGTCGAGCACTACACCAATATAAAGTTCTATTTGCAGGTTTCCAACTAACCCCACATCATGTCACGCAAGCTAGAATCGCGCATCAACAAAGATACATCTTCTCTATTGGTTCGAAGATCTAACTATATGAATAAGATAACACCTAGGGTAGAATGTATTCAAGCAAAATTACCTTGTTTGCTAATTAAGTCTAAAGCAACAATATCATACCACCGTGATAATAATATAATTAAAGTGGTTCGTTCTTCACGGTATTCCATTTTAGGGAGAGAAGGACCTATTTTTTGAGAGAAATTCCAAAGAGAGAGAATAAGGGCTTGAAGTTAGGTGAAAGGAATATGTGGGACATAGAACAAGCTTGGTAGCATGATTAATAAGTATACATAATAATAAGATGAGAAGAGGAAGAATGAGAGGAAATTTTTGATTAATTGTGATCTCTGTTTGGCTGGAAAGTGGTAATGAATTATTATTAAGATGGCCAAAGTTGTTTCCCACTTTGCTAATTGTGGTCTACTTAAATCTTCATCTTTGAGCTGTCATCTTCTCTATTTTTCTTTTCTACAATTAATGTTTTAATTTAATATAAATTTGACCCACCCATATATATTCTTCTTTATTTCAACATAAAATAAGTTGCCATTAAAGAATTAAAGATGGGTTTAAATAGTATTTTATTCTTTAAATTTGACGCACATCTTCATCTTGTACTTTAAAAAATGTTACATTTTGATTCTTAAATTTTGTATAAAAATTCATCATCTTTCATCCTTGCCCATTAAACATGTGTAAAAATTATATGTGAGACCAATATGAGAACATATGTTTTAATTAAATAACCATGTATTGGGTCTGATATGACATTTCTAAATAATTATCACTTACGTCAAGATGAACTTAACTTGGCAATGATTGTCACATGTCTCTGATCAAAAGGTCATGAATTCAAAATTCTCCACTCCCACTTATTAATACTAAAAAAAAATTCACACCTACTTGTTTAAATTGTAATATTACAAAAAAAAAAAAACAATTGAAACACTATTTTGGTATTTATACTTCGACTTTTGATTCATTTTAGTCTTTGTACTTTCAAAACGTCAGTTTTGGTCTCTATACATTTAAATTTTATTCATTTTAGTCTCTATATTTACAAAAAGCTCATTTTGGTTATCTTTTAAAAAGTGTTTATTTTAGCTCATTTATCATTTTTATCTCACTATTTTGATACAATTTTAGCACAAAGCCCTAACTATTTATTTGAGTAAAGGGMTTTTCCCTTACTAGTCAAGTGGTAAGGTAGGGCGTATTCTTTGAAGAAAACAGACTTTAGGAAAGTGGTTCAGGTAGCTCAGCTGGTTAGAGCAAAGGACTGAAAATCCTTGTGTCAGTGGTTCGAATCCACTTCTAAGCAAAGGGTCCAAAGGACACGTAGCCGGGAGCGAGCCGGATTTGGAAATGAAAATGAAAGAGGAAGCAAAAAACAATGTGAGCGCTCCTTCACCTCGTAAACTCGGTAAAGCAGCTTCGCTCCTGCACGAGACGGCTTTTTGGCGAGGAACACTTCATTCACATAATTTTTTGAAATGTAGCCATAAATTGTATTAAAAGGTTTTCATTGGACATACATTTTTTGTTAAAATTTTGCAAATAAGAACAAAAATTGGTCATTTTTTAAAAAAGTA